TCCCTCCCTCTTTTCCTCCCTCCCTCTTTCTCCTTTTGCTTCCTTGGTAGTATAGGGAGGAAGGAGGGGGTGGGCACAGGAAAGAGGGGAAAGAAAAAAGAAAAAGAATCACATGCCACAGTGTCTCAATATATCCTTTACTTGTAGATAATTCCATCTGCGTTGCACTTTTGCCTTTTTATTTCTGTTTTTGGACACCTCTTTTATCATCCAGCCAACTGGAATAGACAAAGCCCAGTTGGTGCCCTGAGCGACAGAACCCTGGTAGGGGGCTGGCTGTAAATTGACGTGGCATGGAAATTCTCTGCTAAGTTGTAGCAGCTTGCATGTTTCTCCGAAAATCAAACCCAGCCTCCCGGAGCCGTAGCTTAATCATCATGGGTTCAACGACTTTACAAAAAAATGGATAGAAAAGGTCTTCAGCTCCTTTCTTTGGACTCAAATGTTTTCTTTTTGAGTATCTATGTTATAGCTGAAAAAATCAAAGCAGTTAAGTCTATAACTTTCTTTTTGCAGCTTAAACAACAGGATTTGCTGCTCTCCCTCCCCTATCCTGCAATTTAATTCCTTACAGACTTTGCCATGGGGTGCGGACTTAGGAAGTTAGAAGACCCTGATGATAGCAGCCCTGGAAAAATATTTTCTACCCTGAAGAGACCTCAAGTGGAAACAAAGACAGAATTTGCTTACGAATATGTATTGCTGGATTTTACTTTACAAGGTATGTTTTGCTTCTATTTTATTCATTAAATGAAATGTTTCAGAGATAAGGGGCTACAAGTTTTAAGTGTTGGTTTGTGAATTTTTAAACTGCTCTTCATAATCAGATTGTATGATCTAACAATAATGCTTTGTTTCTTAATTATATTTTGAAAGATTTTGGTTTTTGTTTACTTTGTGTTTTTGGTAACATGGCTCATATGTACTTTATAAAATGAGGAAAACTGCTTGGAAATATTCCGTTCATTTTTAAATCAAATTTGTAGAAGAGTACATGAAAAATGTTTGATTCCAAGACAAATAGCTGTAGCCTTAATAACATTTTGTGTTTTGGGAAAGATCTGAAAGGCACAAGAAGGTAGCATGCAGGAAACATTACTTGTATCGTGTGGAAAAGTGTTTGCTATACAATTTTGAGGTTTCCAACTATGTTAAATCTTGGGCTTGTGCTGGTTATTTCCCATTTTTGAGCAAACTAAACTTAAAGTTTGAAAATACAGTAAAAAAGGAAAAAATAAAAACCGACAGTCTTCTGTGAGACACTTCCTTTGCTTGGTGCCCTGTCCCTAACAGAGAAACACCCTGTTTCAGAAAGTTGGAAACACAAATAAACAAGCCCAGATGGCAGCCCTGTGGAAGGAACACAGGCAGCTCGACTTCACAAATACTTTGCTTCACTTCTTTCGGAAACTGAAGAGCCCTATACAGCTACATGGATAAAACTGCGTTTTTAAAAAGTAGAACTATATCTTTAATAATGCTGTGCTAAAAATGAAATTTGGAGTGTCTTGCTTGCTGTTAGCATTTCCACATATCAGTATTCTAAGTTTCTTGTTACAAAGCTATACTTTTAATTCTAAAAAGCCACACATTTTTATCAGTGAATAGAAAGTTTATACTAAGCAAATCATGTTAGATGTCATAATAATCTTTTTTAACTTAAACACAAATTCCCTATTTCTTGGTTTGCTCTGTGAACAGTGCATCTTTGTGCGAGAAGCAGGAGCAGCCCATTTTTCTTTGTCAAAACCTGAGCTAACCAGCAAGCAAACTCCCTTCCAAGGACATACACGAAATCCAAACATATACTTTTAACATATTCACATTTCCACTTTTATTTGAGGCTAAGGCTACCAAAGGAAAGAGAGTCAGTATTCTTAATTTTCTTTTTAATTATGAAAGTTTAAAGTAGATTATGATAATAGTGGTATCAAATAACTAACCAATCGTGAATTTTTTCTATACTTTTTCAAAAACCAGTATTTAAGAAAATATTTGCAATGTGGTGCTATGTTTTCTCCATTGGTTGTCCTTATCAATTATTTTTTAGGACTAGTTTCTGTAAATCCATAGGACACAAACATATACTCTCCTTAACCTTAAAACCTTGTCTATTCTTAAACTTTAGGCCAGAGCCATTTTGATCTGCACTTTAAAATTTGCTGCACAATCCCCCATAGAATCGTAGGGCTTAAAGTAACTTGAATTTCTTTTTCTGATTTATTTCCTTCCAACAATATTAAAAATCTCAAATAAATCTGTATAAATGCAGTCATCCTTAAATCAGAAAGAGCTACAGCTTTTTTTAGAAGTCATTTTGGTTTTGTTATTATCAGAAATCCTTCTCTCTGTGAAAGGGATATAATTTCTACCTCCACCCTAAGTCTTTGAAGGAGGTAGCAGAGCATTACATTATAAAGTATGGGCAGAGTTTGCAAACGTTAACACAGAAAGCAGGCACACATTTTAAAGTTGCACCTGGTTCCTATTTGGTCCAGGCGCCTAAGTCTCTTGATTCCCCTTTTCTCTCTAATTCTTCCACATTTTTTGTTTTGTTTTGTTTTTCCCTTTGACTTGGCCTCAGAAGCCAAGACTCTGCATCAGCCCAACCCCACAAACCCTCTTCCTCTCTTCTGCTGTCTCTGACCTTCACCTGCAACTGCAGTGTACAGAGGAGTGAGTTGGGGTGGAGGATAAAACAGGCCAGCCTTACATTTAGCACCGGCAGTCCTGTCCTGGGATTCCTGTAAGGAGCACTGAATAGTGGCACCTCCTGCCTTTCAGAAGCCACCATGAAATGAGCAACCTTTTCAAGAAACAAAATGGTCTGGTGGCAGCTGTGTGTGCTCATGATGAGCCTGTCTCTTACTTTGTTTTCCTCTGTTTTTCCAAACAGAGGACATGTGACAGAGAGTAAAGTCCCCATGAGGCGAGAAGTGGAGACTGAAATTTCCAGTGCCGGGTTGTGGGGGCTATGATTATCTTGAACAACATAGTTTCCATTCAGTTACATTCTCTCTCTCTCTCTCTCTCTCTCTCTCTCTCTCTCTCTCTCTCTCTCTCTCTCTCTCTCTCTCTCTCTCTCTCTCTCTCTCNACTGATCTGCCTCACCCGGGAAGAGTGCAATGATGGTGCCAACTTGAGCCAGTGAAGCAACATCCTCCACAACTAGACTGAAGAACAAAAACGACAGCAACTTGTCTGTTCCCCTTCCCCCAATTCCCCAATAAAAAAAAATCTTATAAAAAAAATAATAAAATAACAAGTTAATTTTTTTTAAATAAAACAGAAAACTGAACATTTGTTTCAAAATGAGAAATATACTACTGAAGAAATGTATATTTTCTCTTTAACAAAATGGAGAGGCAGAATTTTTTTTGACTGAAAGGATTTGTTTAAAAATGTAGAGGTATTAAAGAGCTATGGAGCATAGAATAATATTGAATGTCAACTATAATTAAATATATACAGTAATACCTTGGTTTGCAAGCATAATTCATTCCAGAAACAAACTACTCATATTGCAAGACATCGCTAGTTTTCCATGTTAAAATCTATTAGAAACATTTGATCATCTTGCGGAACACTACTTGCAATCCAAGGTTTTACTGTGTATATATATGTATATATATATTTTTCCCCCCCACAGGATGTAAAGTACAGTGTAGGAAATATAGTCAATGGTATTATAACAGATATATACAATATCAGAGCAGTAGTAGACTAGGGGGGTTATTACTTTGTGAGGGGTGCAAATGTCTAATCATTTTATTGTTTTGTACACCTAAAACTAATGTAAAAAATGAAATTTTAAAAAAAGAGCAAGGGTGACCAGGTGGCTTAGTTGGTTAGAGCATGCGCTCTTAACAAGAAGGTTGCCGGTTCGACTCCCGCATGGGATGGCACGCTGCACCCCCAGCAACTAAATTGAACACCGCGACTGGACTTAGAATTGAGCTGCACCCTCCACAACTAGGATTAAAGGACAACAACTTGACTTGGAGCTGATGGGTACTGGGGAAAACACACTTTCCCCAATAAAGTTAAAAAAAAAAGAGCTATGGAGCAAATATATGTGATAACCAACAAAAGCTTACAGTTTTAAAGAAAAAAAATATGTAAGGTTAATACCTTAAATTGTTTTATGGTCAACCAGATATTTCTCTAAGTATAAGTAATATAAATGAATTATTTACTCATTAGAATACATTTTCTCTGCTTATTACTTTCTAACTGATATCCTTCTATGTAAACTAGTTCCTTTAACCATTTATAAAGTATAGTAGAATCTTAGTCTTTAGGAAATAATCTGAAGTGGGAGAAAAGTAATCTTTACTAAAATTGTCACCATAAAAATTTGAAAATAGTCAAAATGTTACTTATTAAGCATTGTATTAATACAATGAAATCCCATATAATTGTTAAAATAGCAGGAATGTGTGCCATATTGATACATGGAAATGTGTTTTTGAAAAAGGGTCAAATAAAATTTAATTTTATTGGACTTTTGGAGAGAAAAATGATTTATGCAATAGCTCAATTGCAAGCTAAAGGAACAGTAGTTCCTTTTACTAAAGATAAAAGAAATTCTTTAAGGACATAATAATGCATTATATTCATTCATTCAGCCAGTCAGTCATCAACTATCAACTGGACTTCTGCAATACTCTCCCAACTGAGTGGTCTCTGTCCATTCTTGCTCCCATTAAGACCAACTTCCTCAAAGCAGCTATAGTGGCCTATCGAAAACAATAACTGATGTTACTTGCCTACTTCAAACTCCTCCTTTGATTTTTTCCATTTGATTACTTGATTCTCCTTGGTTGCCTACAAAACAAAGTCCAAATTCCCTTTGTATGGCATATAAGATCCATTACAACGTAGCTCTTGCCTTCCTTACAGCTTAGTTTTCTTTCAAATTTTACATTCTATTGGGTTGTCAGAAAAGTCATGATGCATTTTTGCAATGAAAAACATAGAAAAAAATACGTCATGACTTTTCTGACAACCCAGTAGTAATTTTTAACTGCTTCACGTTCCTTCAAGTTTGTGCCATACTGTTTCATGATTCCACGACATTGCACATGCTTTTCCATTTTCCTGGTGCACGCTCCCCACGTTTCTTTATCTATTTTGTGCATATTCATCCTTCAAGACAGTTCCATGTATCATCCTCCAAGCTGAGTGGGAAACCCCTTCTTGGGTTCTGTAACTTCCTATCCATACTTTATCTCAGCAGCTACCAAATCATATTGAAATTATCTGTTTATAAGTCTGCCTTTACCACCAAAACAGAAGTTTCTTTAGGGCAGAAGCCATGTTTAGTTACCTTGTGTATCCAGCCTGCATCCAGTTCAGCGCCTGGGACATAGCAGGCATTTAATAAATATAGTGAATACTTAATAAATAATCTTCCAGGCACTGCAATAGAAACTAGTAAACTTCAAATATTCCATTTTCTGCCATCCAAGAACTCACAGTCTATCATACAAAAGAGGACATGAAAAATGACAGGCAAGAAAGCACTGTAAATAGTCAAATGAGTCACACTGGGTCGGAGTCTGCTGTCTTTTTATCCAAATTTACCCAGAAATTGCTTACCACCAACCATGCTCATCCTCGAGAATGAAGGACTATGGGATTTTCCTCTGTTAAAACTTTTCTGGGAAGTAAGTTATTTAAAGACAAGTAGGCACAAGGAAGAGACAAGAGGTCGTAGTG